TTTGTACTAGTATGGTGAAATACTATCAAAGATTTAAATGTGGAGATGTTAAAAACACTATTCTCCTTGAGGCTTGGAATACAAGCAATTCAATAGAGACTGGTCAGTGGTTTTGCTTTGTTAAACAATTGTTAGATATTACTAATTTAAAACCAGCTGACATTAATAATCCAAGTTTTGGTAATCAGTTCAACACAAAATTAAAGCAAATTTATTATGACAAATGGTATGAAGAAATCAATAAACTAGCACATAACAAATTAAAAACATATAGTTTATTTAAAAATGACTATGCAATGGAGAAATATTTATGTGACATTAAATCTGCGAAACACAGAGTGGCAATGACTAAGTTTCGCCTGTCTGCACACAAATTACCTATAGAGACAGGAAGACACAAAGGTATTCCTAAAGAGAACATATTTTGTACAAAGTGTTCAAATAATGAAATTGGGGATGAGTTACATTATATCTTTAATTGTAATAATAGTCAAATTAGTTATTTTAGAAATGATTTTTTTACAACTTTATTTATGTATGCACCAAATCTTGAAATCATAGGGGATGACAATTTATTTGCAGACATGTTTTCAAGTACCGATAAATTTATCTATTCAGGCTTAGCCAAATTTGTTTTTAGTATTTTAGAGCTTTTTTAGTTTAGTTTAGTTTAGTTTAGTAGTTATGTAATTTTTTCTCTTTTGTTCTTGGTCATGGCATTTTATATGTTCCCGTACCAAATAACATTTATCTTATCTTATCTTATCTTATAAGTTAGGACGTGCATTGAAACGTTTCATACAAAATCACTGTGAACTCTTCAGAATCGCTTTGTTGTATTCGGCCATCCCATAATAACTATTACTGGTAGTAAATGCTCGTGTGATAAAGTATGTGTATTACAACCGTGTCGATATATTCTAAGCTATCAATTTGGTTTTCGTTTCGATTGACCACCTCTTTACAGATTTATAATCTATAATTTATAATTTATAATCGTCTGGTACACTGAACGATTTATCTATTTGACATTGTAGTACAATCTTCTGATATTGGATCACATTGCGCAGAAGCAGAGTACAGAATACAATGAATTTGTTAACATTTTCGGAATGGGGAGATTTATTTTCTTCATACATCTAGTGTTTGATTCATTCGAATGTGCGTTCGACATTTCACTCCAGTATTTGTCTATCAAATTGTCTTTTTTGAATCAAATCGGAGCCGGAATTACATTATTATCAAACAATTTTGGATGTGAATGTTACGGTGTCTGTATTTAACGAGCATAGCAATGAAGCAATGGACAACTCTAGTCATTTATTTGTCCTTCTGATCGTAAATTGTGAAGTTACCAATTCTTTCAATTCCAAGACAACAAAGACACTCACGGGTTTCCAAGACAACAAAGACACTCACGGGTTATGAAGGTTTTTGATAACAAAAATCTGCAACCACTGTTCGAGAATGTTCTATTTGAATAGAAAATGTAAAAATGGAAGAATTGCTATTTTTATATGAGCCTAATAATTATCTTTATACGACATCTATTTCGTGCTCACACAAATACAGCATGTGAAGTTATTGAGATATTTGTTATGCTGAAAGCCTATTTATAATTTTGGAGAAAGTTGGTCATAAATCACTCTGGCTGTTCACTGATAATGTTCATTCGTTTATTATGTACAATAATGGAACTAGTGTCCTGTGGCACAATGAAATAACATTATTTCATGTGTTGCAGTGACGTTTTTGAGAAACATGGCCTAATAATTTTAAAAAATCGCTATTTTTTTTAAACCCCAAAGTTTTGAAATAAGTTAGGACAACAAAAAGTATCCCATCATTAACAATTTATTATTTTTCAGCCTATATCACCAGCCTGCAATTTGAGATATTACATAATATATCTACCCAAGGAACCTATGGTAAAAGCGTTATAATTTTCCTAAATTTTTGCTGAAGCGCCACCAGCGATAGACTTTATGAAATAAAGTGGATCCGGATTGGCTGATTTATCTCACGTGACTGAGAAAGTACATTATTTAAATGTTTCAGATGCTTGTACAATGTTTTCATTGTGCGTAATTCATCGATGTTTTGTTCGGAACAGTATACTGCC